AAATTTATAACACAAGCATGTCCAGCTGCTCTCTCCACTCCTAACTGATGGAAACATCGCTCGAACAGAAACCTGTCAGCAGACAAAAGAAACATCAGCTAAATGGCTTGTATTATTTAACCAGCATATTGAGACTTAAATGTATTTACTTGCTTTGTAGCTACTGTTCTGTGACAGCAGGTTGTTTCTTGGGCTTGTTTGCAAAGAAAAGAAAGATGCCTGCAATGCTGGCAAATGTAACCGCGAGACACTGAAAACGACAGCAAAATATTAAAAATGGTACAAAAGATGGTTTTTGACACTTCTCAGTGATGCAGTTACATAATTACTCACACGTTTCCTTCCAGCTTCTGTGTATAAACTGAAGTATTTGATAATCCCGGGGAACGGCTGCTCATTACCAGCATCGTGTCCTCTCATGATGGATAAATTAATGGTCCTGACACAAAGAAGACAATGAATGAGTCATTATCAGAGCACATAAGCAAGTTCTTTTTTGTATGGAACTTACATACAAGATGAGACGAAGTATTGTTACAGTTATTTGATTTAAATTTATTTGATATGAAATTGCATGCTAGTTGCAATGAATATAATATAGTACTATTGTACAAGATAACTATCCTTGGTTCATTTTTGTGTTTCAGTGCACAAAGCATAAATGCACACCGAAGAGACATTTATCACTCTTTAATGACAGATTCCCCTTAACCACTAACTTTAGCCACTGTGAAACAGGATTTTCACCACAATATTTTAAGTCAAACCTTTAAAACTAACAGTAAACTGTACAGTCAAACTTTGTCCTGAACATGTGAGATGTTGTGTTTTGCCACACTTGCAGGTAAAATGTACACATCATTGTTCATTAGATTTAATAATAAATTACGCAAGCTGCATAATATATATACTGTATATATAGAGCCAAAGTAAAAATCTTCAGTTTTGAGCTACATTTTGTTTTTATAACATGGCTCCTACATTTTTAAAAAAAGTTACTTGCTTCACATTTTCAAGTATGATGGAAGTGTACTGGCTACAAGATATTTTTACAAGTCGAAAATACTTAATAAAAACATAACTTATCAAATAAACAGCTGCAAGTTTATTAYACAACTATATTCTCTAAACAGTGTCAATGCATGTGTCTGTGTCAAAAACCTGGCATTTCAACCCGACTTGTTTTAATAAGCTTCATTTGTTCAAAAACATTTTAGCATATTCGTGCCAACAATGCCCTAACAAAATAAAGTTAAAATAATTATTTTTTAAA